AATCCACAGATAAATGTGATATTTTCCTAAAGCCTAAGACTAAAAGTTGCAAGGTCAACCCTTTCTCCAAAGGATTAGCTAAAAATGTTAGCTACTTCTAGGTTCTTTGTTCTATAGACAAAGAACCCATCCTCCCTAATCCTTTTCCAGGTGCAGCCCATTCTCCTGGGCGTCTCTCCCTGAAAATCTGGCTCAGGAAGCCGAAACAGCGGGACTCCGCCCAAGCTTTTGTCATTACTCTCACCTTCCCCCACCTGTGCTCAGGGGCTATAGATATGTTAATTGGGCCTGAGAATCCAAGTGGCTGGCCTGGGATTCGAACCAGCGAAGTACAATGTGAAGTTACCTGAATGTCTGGAAAAGCACTGATGTTAGCTGTACCTTGTCTAAGTCCCTCCCAGCTTGGTGTGAAGCTCATCCCCTAAATAAAACAGAGGCCCGGGCCTCCCCAGGTGTGCATTACTGGTTGGAAGGCATGGAGTAAAGATTGTGGTGAATTACTGGTTGGAAGGCATGGAGTAAAGATTGTGGTGCATTACTGGTTGGAAGGCATGGAGTAAAGATTGTGGTGCATTACTGGTTGGAAGGCATGCAGGAAAGATTGCAGTGCATTATGGGTTGGAAGGCATGCAGCAAAGATTGCAGGGCAGTGAGTTGCTGCCTGCAGAGGCCACGATGCCTGTACTCCCAAGCCTGCCCACCAGTGATGTATCCACCCTGGCTTTGGGGTGCCTCATTGTCTCTTTCTGTGTATTCTTGATATATTGCAATTGCCGTCAGGTATCCCCTCCTCGTGAACCGAACCCCTATGTCGAGGCGGGTCCCCGACAAATAAGTATGGTGAAACAACACAATCCTGTTGCACACCTTTCCCAATTTTAAAACATTCAGTGTTCCCCATGCTCTGTTCGAACAACTGCTTCTTGGTCCAGGTATAGATTTCCCAGAAGTACAATTAAGTGTTCTGGAATACTCGTACTTCACACCGTTGTCCATAGCTTGTCATGATCCACACAATCGAAAGCCTTTGC